GAATTTTAACAGCACTGAGTTTAAAAAAATAATAGCACGTTTTGTATTTCTTCATCCCAGTGTCAAGTGAGACCTTACAGTGTACCACTTCCTACCTAGTCTAGCATAAATATGGCTGAGAACTCGAGATGGTTGCACTCTGATGGGGTGGATGTCTGCCACTGTCTCCACATCAATCCCATTCCTCTGCAGGAGTGCCTTAATATCCTCATTCTCAGCAAGGATGGACACTTATCAGAACAAAAAAAACAAACATCAGGGTAAATTTCAGCCATGCAATGCATCACATGTGCCATAAAGAATTGAGTGCAACACATATTAAAACATACCTTGTACAACAACATCTGGTTTAGGGATGGTAGAGAACCTGCGGTTTAGAGGGTCTATTTCACCAGGAGCCAAAAAACCCTGAAATGGAAAGGAGAAATTTGAGGTGTATTCCATACTTTCTCTAATATAACTTGGTACAAAGCTTTCAAAGAACTATAGCAAAGATATGACTTTTAACCTCTCACCTCTGCCAAAAGGTTGCCCAGGACATAAAGGGACTGTCCCCACTTCAGAGGGCACTTTCCCATTGGGATCCTCTCCACCGTGTGTGGATTAACATACTCTTCATCCACCTGAAATAATAATAATAAAAATATGTTATCAAAAGTATATAAAAAAAACTAATTTCATCTAAATTAAATCTGAATTCTCATTAATCCAGTGATATTTAATTGCTATACAGATCAGATTTAAAAAAAAAAAAAAGTTTAGTTAGTTAGGAAGAGATTTCTCACCTTATCTGGAGGAACACTATAGAGTTCAGGCAGCAGCCGTACCCCATCTTTTTGTTTGATCATGATACCTTCCAGAGCTTCTCGATACTCCTGAACCTGAGAGGACAGAAACATGAAAATACAGCCTGCCTGTATCTGCTGCACAACCTTATTTTTTAACCTCTAGAAAGTCTCATTCAAGCGCCGTCTTTTCACTATTCTTATCTTTACACTTTGTCTTTTGTCTCTACAATAGCAGCCAGAAGGCACCACTCCACTTATGGCTGAAATAAACTACATGACTTTTACAATCTGAACACATTTTAAAACACTAGGCATCCTGTACCTGAATATTGTATATTGTTACAAAACTATATACAAACTGCATATATTGTTACAAAATTGGGCATCATACATAAAACTCATGCAGAAACATACACCTCGTTGCTATGATACGCATCACAAATGAAAACAATGGGTGTTCTAAAGTCAGTTCAAAATATCAAACATATTTTATATCATCTGACTGGATGGAATCATAGTCTGATGCTTAAAAAAAAAATCTGTGAAATCGGTCAACTTCAACTGACCATAATCTGCATAGTATTTTGTGATATTAGTATTTTTAGCCACATACTGAAATTAAACTATAGTGGGGAAAAAAAGTATTTAGTCAGCCACCAATTGTGCAA